GGCGCACTCGATATTTTACTCTGTAATATCCAAAGTGCAGGCATGGGACTGAATCTGAGCCGAGCCGAAACCATCATCTTTGCCGACCGCAGTTATTCTCCGGCTGATAACGAACAAGCCGAAGCCCGTTTCTTGCCTACCACTAATTCTGAACATGGTCGGGTGCGTTTAGTAATTGACCTTATTTGCCAGGGGACCATTGATGAAAAAATTCTCCAATTACTCAAAAAAAAAGAGGATATAATTAAGGTTCTCAATACCAATCCTGGTTACTTTTTTAGTTAATGCATTTTTGCTCTTAACACACAAGAAATTTTTTTATCTCTCAAAAACTATCTTCGGGGCCACAACCAGTCCATATTCAGCCCCCGCATCTTTTAACATTCTTTTTGCTGCCATTACTTCTTCCTTTTCATTATATTTATCATGAGAGTAAAAAATATGCTTTATTCCTGCTTGAATAATCAATTTAGCACATTCGCAGCAGGGAAAAAGAGTGGTATACAGCGAAAAACCCTGACAATTTTGGCGAGCATGAATTATAGCGTTAGCTTCAGCATGAACGACATACGGATATTTGGTTTCTAGTCAGTTTTTGTGGTCATTTTCCCATGGGTAATCATCGTCATTGCAGCCCCACGGCAAACCATTATAACCAGTAGCAACAATTTCCTTATTCTGATTAACTATTACTGCTCCTACCTGGGTGTTGGGGTCTTTACTCCGCATAGCACAAACGTGAGCTATTGTGATAAAATATTCGGGTCAACTTAAATAATCTGTTTTTTTAGGCATAAATAATTTTTAGCCGAAAATAGCAAAAAAAAGTAGCCAGAACATTATTTTGGAAACAACGAGAGGATTTATTTACTATTAAATTTACCCATCACTTTTTCAAAATTATTTTCTTCTATTCATTCTTGTAAACCGGTCAGTAAATCCGGGATAATTTTCTTTATTTCTTCTTTTTCTGCGGACTGAAAATTTTGTAAAACTCAATTTCTAATCAGGAAATTTTTGTCATAGCCAATTCCAACTCTCAACCTTTTAAAATCCCTACTTCCCAATACTTCAATAATATTTTTTACTCCATTGTGTCCGCCTGCTGAACCTTGGCTACGATAACGAAACTTTCCTAGCGGCAAGGCAATATCGTCATAAATTACCAACAAATTGTCTACCGGTATCCGAAAATAATTTAAAAAAGCCCTAATACATTCTCCTGAATTATTCATATAATTTTGGGGTTGGAGGAGAATATATTCGCTGGTTCGGCAATATAAACCATTAAACTTTTTTTTACTTAATTCAACATTTAATTTTTGGACCAATCTATCAACAATTATGAAACCTAAATTATGCCGAGTATTTTCATATTCTTTACCCGGATTACCAAGACCAACGATTAATTTCATGTTAAATTTTCTTCACAGCGGGGTCGGTTTTTAAGATTTCTAGGGCTTCGTTTTTACTCTTGCTAATAGAAACAGCAGAAGAGTTCATTTTCAAATCAATAATGTTACTTCAAATTAGTTGCTGTTTCCCACTTTCGTCAGTTTCCGAACTAAAATAAGTTTTATATTCGTCAGTATTTTTTTCAAAAATAATATATCAGTCTTTGTTATTAATTATTTTTTGGTCTAAACTATCTCCACTAAATTCATTATTTCCCACAAAATTTATAATCTTTTTTCTAAGGGACCGCCTTGGACCTATTTTGTATCCTTTTTTTTCTATTCACTTTCCATAGGAAATAGTTAATTTGGTAAGGCTATCGCCTAGTATTTGAGAAACAACGCGCCAATTGCTAATTATCGTCTTTCCTTTCTTTGCTGGTTCTTCTTTCATTGTTTTTAATTCCCCCAAACCAAAAACAAAATATTTTTCTAATTCCAGCCTTCGGCTAAAATCCTCTAATAGACATTTGGTTAATTCTGGGTCGCTTAATTGGCTTAAAGGAGTAGGTGTGGGATTATTTTCCTTTGGTTGATTAGCAGAGGAGGTGGATTTTTCCTTGCTTGGACTTAATTTTCAAAGCATAATCCCTCCTCCAACTGACAAAATAATTAACACCAGCAGAATAATAATTATCGTTCTTTTTTTCATGTTGCCTCTTCTATATTAATTTTTTGACTTTCTAATAATTCCTGCAAAGCCAATTCTCTCATTTTAATTTCACATACTCAAATAGGAATTGAACTCGGTGGGAGAGTTTTATGGTGAAAATAATCGCAATGACCGAGTTTGTTGGGACCGCAACTTTCCGACCAATAGAAAAAAGGCGTCCGGTTCTTTCACGTATCGGTAAATCACTCTCAATTTTCCCGATTTTCACTAATTCGTGAAGGATTAGCCACTTCATGAGCGTTATCCCAAGCCAGCGGCAAAAAAATCTGATATTTTTCTTGGCAATAGTGGTGAAATTTGTAGAGATTAGCCGAATTTCAGAAACCACGGGCTTCGTTTTTTAGGCTAATTTTAGCCAGAACATTAGCAGGTAATTTTCGAACTTCTTCCGCTACTCATTGCAAATATTTTTCTTCTCCCAGTTGCTCAACCAATTCCCGTTTGGAATTAAGGTGGATAGTGATAATAAATTCTTTTGCTATTAATGATAAAATGTTCGCATAATAAATTAACTCGGCTTGGGAATTTTCCCTTATCGTCTTGTCATCAGAAGCCAAACTAAAAAATTGGGATGAGTGCATGGAAACGGTAATTTTTTTCTTTTCCAGAATCTCTTTTATTTCTTGACAAAAATGTAAAAATTTTTCCTCTCGTAGCACCAATTCATAATTTCTCTTGAACGAAACTTTTTAAAGTGGCTAAGGGCAATAGACCAGAAGTAATTCGGGAATGGACCACTTGTGCAGGAAGGTTATTAAGGGTAAACTTTGCTGTTTTTAGATTATGTTCGACAATCGTCAAATATTTTTCTCAAGCGGTTTGGATGCCAAGATTAACTAAAACTTTTTCCAAAGCGTTCTTACTAACATTGCGATGCCTAATTCCCTTTTTTTCGTAGCCACGCAAGGTGCTAATTAAACCAAATTTATAACAATTACTATCTTCGGACAATTCTTATATATTAATTTAATTTTACTATTGATTGGTGCTCCGGGAAGGATTCGAACCTCCGACAACTTGTTTAGGAAACGAGTGCTCTATCCACTGAACTACCGGAGCAAATTAATGAATTTTTACATATTAACAATACCAAGTAGCGATCAAAACTTATTTATTATTTTTTTTTTTATTTCTATTTAGAAACACAACCCCCGGTTTTAATGCTCCAAAAAAAATAATACTGAGCCCAGAAGAAATGAAATTGCGACCGAGCATGTTCCGAACAAGAACATTTTAACCCCAACGGGATTTTGCCACACCAAAGAAGCCAAGAATGAGAATCTAAACTGAAAATACACCAACAATAAATCAGTAAAAGAAATGACTACTCAACAATTAAAAAAACTATTCAAAAATTAGAAGGAGATTTTGCTCTTAGAAGAAGGATTATTACCAGATGAAAATGATACAGAAACCTGAGACAAGGATGCTTTCAGTGAATTATTAAAAAAATAGATAAGATGAAAACCTTGGATTAAATTATTTCTTTCTCGGGCCAGCATCAGCAAAAGAAAAAAAGTTTCAACTCACCACTGAATAAGCGAAATTAATTGTAGTCAGGAAGACATTGGGAAAGCTAAGTATCTGTCCAATAAGAAAAAAATATAATAATATATGTTGCAGAATGAATCAGTTTTGTGAGTAGCAGACAATTCCGGAGCCAAAAAAATATTGGTAATT